TTAGGAAACGCATTTATTTATTTAGTATATTATTTTAACACATAGATATTGCTACAAGGAAGCACCAAATACAAATGCGCCACACAGATCTCATTTGGTATGTATGAGGGCTGTGATACTGTCCGGATGTCCAAACCAAAGCAGGTGGTTTTCTTAGATGGCCACACCCCGAGACTTTGACCTAAAGGTCTGACCCACAAGGCAGTGGAGCATCGTAAGGAGATGCAGTCCCATGGTAGCCGGTGACCAACAATTGGTTCATATGCCATTTGTTCCTTTCGGATATTGGAGCCCATGTGCACAATTGATTTGGGATCGGGTTAAAGCGCCGAATATTGGGTAGGACTTCCCTGGCAGAGGCTACATACGCGTGGCCATGGTGGAGTATTTCGAGAGGGAGGGCGGGCCCACCCCACTCTTGGCCATACCAGGGCATTAGGAGGATGTCAAATCAATTGATGAAGTAGTGAAACTTAATCAGTTGAGATGGCTGGGATATGTGTTACACATGCCAAACCACCGAATGCCTCAATGAGCGATGTTTTATGGTGTGGGAGTAGTTCGGAAGAAGGTTACAGGTGGCCAGATCAAAACATGGCACAAATCCATGAAGTCACTGACAAATGGACTGAGCGAGCCATATTGATAGGTATAGACTAACTGGTTCGGATTCATGAGACGATAGCAACCGATGGTTAGAGATCTTGAATGACATGGCTGAAAATCGTTTGCAGTGGCACAGGTGAATCCACTAATTGTGTTCTTCCGAATTCTAATCTTCTGAATTCTTCATGTGCTTTATTCTCTTTCCAAATTTATTCCACCGGTTTATACACGTTAAATAACATCATCACACACTAATGTTCCCTTTTACTACTTATATTATCACTACCTCTAACACTACGGGATTCGAATCGATGACTGAATCTCTTTGCTAATGTGGTATGGCAAGTCGAACTGATGTATGTACGTACGAAGTTCCACGTTGTTACTACTGACTGACTGACTGACTGACTGACTGACTGACTGACTGACTGACTGACTGACTGTCTGACTGACTGACTGACTGACTGACTGACTGACTGACTGACTGACTGACTGACTGACTGACTGACTGACTGACTGACTGACTGACTGACTGATATGTATATATATAAATGAGTTAGAAATGATGAAAAGATTATTAAAGTCTTCATGAAAACATATTACATCATACAATGAAAAAATTTCACTAGGAATTAAATGGATAAAAGCTGATTAATATATTTTTTTCTTTTCAATGTAAAAGGATTAATGTTAATGTTGTAGAATTTAACAAGCAATAGGGGAAGTGGTTAAAAAGTACAATATTATTATGTATTATTGATTTATTGAATTGCAATAACTAATTACAAATTTATACAACAGTATAGAGATTTTTTATTTCTTAATCGATATAATTATTTTTATAACACTAGGAAGTTATTTTCTGTATCGATAAAAGATGCCCCCAAATGCCGTAGTACGGCCGAGAGTGGGGAGAGTCCGCTCTCCCTCTTCAAATGCTCTAACATGATCATGCGTATACAGCCTCTACCAGGGAAGTCCTACTCACTGCATTCTCGTGGTGAGGGTGTTGTTCATAAAAAATTGAGAGGACAAAATGCGAATGTCCGGTTATTTAACCTGATCCACTGCATTCTCATAGCATTACTGTTGTTTATGAAAATGAGAGCACGAAAAGAGAATGTCCGGCACTGGCTTTAACCGGATCCAAAACCATTGGTGCATATGGGCTCAGGTATCCGAAAGGAACAAATGGAATATGAACTAATCGTTAGTCACCGGCTACCGTGGGACTGCATCTATTCACGATGCTCCATTGCCTTGTGGGTCAGACCTCTAGGTCAAAGGCTCGAGGTATAGCCCTCTAAGAAAAATACCTGCTTTGGTTTGGACACCCGAGCAGTATCACAGCCTTCACACATACCAAATGAGATCTATGTAGCGCATAAATCCATAAAAGATAAGCTTCCGCGTCTAATCGCCTCTATATGCATCTATCAGTTCACCTGCTCTTGTGGAGCAAGATACATTGACACTAGCCAGCGCTTGCTTTCCACTCGGATACGCGAACATATCCCAATTTGGTTCTATAAGGGTGAAATGAAAGCAGATATAAGTTCTATACTTGAACATCTAATCGACTTTAACTATTCTATAAATCCACAAATTGATTATTAAGGTTGTTTATATGATTCATTCAAATCTACCCAGATTTCTTCGTATCCAACTTTTTAAAAAAATAGCCGAAGTTCTTATCATTCAGGAGCTGAAACCAGAATTATGCATACAAAAGAAGTATGTCTTATCGTTATCGTCATCTTGGTTCATTGATGAGTAAAGTTCAGAGACAAATAATAATTTTAGAGGTGATAAAGAGTACATGCTCGCATTTTCGAGCATCCTCCGAAGAAATTGAGACGATGAAGGACAAAGGCTCTTAACAGTGCAATAGATCGGTATTCACTTGACACTTGAGCACACTATTAAACATTCCTCATGCTTTGAAATTATTAACAGACAAATAACACTGCTTCTCACAGTTTTGCTGAAGTGATCACGATTTAAAACAAAAACTCAAACCTGATCTATGTATTGAAAAACAGACAGTAATAAACCTATTACTACCCTGATAATTCAATATTTGGTCTCATACATTTCCACTCAGTCGATTCTTTGAAATTATGTAAACTCTTCAAATCCTATTCATTTATTACATAACCCTGTTGGGATATTCAGAAAAATATCCCTAAAAATTATCCTGTTAAGTTTAATGCTATCCTTGGACTTGAAATGGTATCATCTTCCTATTGGTTAATATTTATTTCACGTGTCATTTTCCTGTTGATCAAATCTTGTACAGATGTTATTTACTATTTTATGGTACAATGTAGTCTTTTTGACCGGTATATAAACAGAGAATGTTTGAAATATAACGATCCAGATCGCAGAGGCTGAGACTTGTGTTCTGGACTCAATTGGCTGGGTTAGACAGGGAAGTAGGGTCAATCAGAACTCTAAGCTGTTCTTACTTGTTTTACGCGTCTTTGGTCCGATCGATAATTCAATGCCGTCTATTCCACGGCACAACATATAATAAAACCATCTTATCAGATTTATAATTCCATTAATCTTATGTAAACTCTTCATTACCTCTAAAATTATTACAGAATTTATCTTCTCTGTCTCTGAACTCCACTCTCGATTATATCACCCATCCTTCATGTTTGTTTGACTCCAACACTAAATAACTTCCGACCTGTTCTTGCATATATATATGTGGTTACTATTGTAAACCTTTGTCATTCCAATTCTTTACATTCACTTATGTCAATAGTTCCACATTATATCTTATCTCAATGTAAAATTCTAATACATCTCAATGGTTGTAAGTAGCCGAATGAGAAACCATAAATTATAATACAGTCATATTATTCTTCATCTATGTTCATTCTACCTTTATTTAAATTCATAAAGGGAACTAATGGCATGGAATTAGAATTCCTTTTAAAAACTGATGTCTTTCCAATTCAAATGATAATAATAGTTTAATAAAGTAAATCTCAAAATTGAATTTCTTTCAATAATTGTTTTACAATAAGCTATAATTTGTGGCCTGACTACCCTGTTAAAGTGTAACATAATGATACTGCCAATTAGAGAACAGTGAATTATCGATCGGAGCAATAACACATAATACAAGTACGAGTAGTCTAGAGTCCTTATTAGTCCTGCTTACCGTCTATCACAGCCTGAATCTATGTGGTCGAGGCTGAAAGAGTTTTTCCGATCTTATCATGGCTCCAGATGCCGACTATTCTGTAGTCATATGGATGATTTCCTCTACTGTATGCATTACAATTTTAGATCCACTGAATCGCTTTCTATACTTGACAAGTTTTTGAACCACGTATAAGATGTGTATCCACTTTATTTCTTTGATTTTGTATAATATATTATATTACTCTATACTAACTGTTTGCTGATTGGTTAATGTTTCTCAAGTTGACTTTAAATTCATTCAAAGGTCGTCCATAAATTAGTTCTTGCCGATAAGTTTAGTTATATTAATAATTTATAGTATTGTTATAACTTGTGGATTGAGTGCCCTGTTAATGGATGACATAATAATACCGCCAATTAGAGAACAGTGAATTATCAATCAGACCAATAACACATAAAACTATTACGAGCAGTCTACAATGCTTATCGGTCCTGCTTACCGCTTATCACAGCCTGTTAAGTCCACAACACTAATCTCAGACTCTATGATATCAATCATATATTTCAAACATATTGGGTTTAGATACCAACTAGACAGACCACATCATATCAATAAAATACGAAACGACATTTGTACAAGATTTGTCCAAATGTAGCTGTGAATGAGGGAGATAGTAATTGATAGACAAGGCATAATTCAAGAATGGTAAATCGTAGAATAACAGTTCATAGGTCAAAATGAAGCTCCTAATAAGAGGGACATGAATATGAATAGTTTAGTTAATTAACAATTATACGATAAAAATATACCCATAGGATTGGTCCATAGATGGATCCCAAAAGGTACCATTCATTACGCCTATCGGAACATAACAAAAACCATACTTACATCTGTTTCTATCATTTTTTTTTGCATATTGGTAGAATTAACCATTTCTACTTTTGTTTCTATATTCTACACAAATGAATCAATGTTACATATCTTTAAATAAACTAAAGTTGTATTAAACAGATATCTAACATGAATTATTACTTTAAATGGTTTGAATAATTTTCTCTGATTAGTGTTTTATTCAGAGAGTTAGTGTTCTACGAGATCGGGTCGCTAACCCCATGCCTAACCCTCCTCTTTTTTTTTCGTGCTTTGAACCGACAGTAGACTTCGGAGGAGGGACTCCAGGCAGAGTTATAAATTATTATTATTATTATTATTATTATTATTATTATTATTACTATTCACGGTTGTGATATTTTATAGTTGGTTCATTTAATTGTTCATTTATGTTTATCGATTTGGACAATACTATCTATCTTTAATATCAAATGAATGATGTAGTGTTTAATTATGCTGCTAAATAGATATTTCAAGCATAACTCTAATTTATGACAAGTAATGCTTGTCAAAGTTGATACAATCAATCCTATAAATGATGTTGAATATCTTTTTCTTTTTCTTTACTTTTTACGTAAACGGATTACCCTGGAAATTCTATCTTTTTTTTTTTTTCTTTATAGGGTTCAGATATGTTAATTAATATAAATGATAGTCAACTAAGGAAGAGCAATCGCTATGGTAACATTTTAAAATGTAAGAGTTACTACACTTTAACACCTCTTGGAAACATTCTAGGGTTACTAACACTCCGTGACCAGATGAAAGACAGGGAAGGTTGGGCAATCGGTTAACTTAACTTAAAAAAAAAAAAGAAAGAAAAAACGCCAACGAGAAAAGAATATTTTAAATCATATATAACTTTACCTTCGTATAGATTTCGAGTAAATGATTTACACAGGTTTTCAGTAAATCGTCGCTTAAATTCTATTCAGTAGGAGAAAAAAAGTGTGAACTATTAAGATTATTCTTTCTATTATTGAACATATTTAATTCAAAATAATCACTTTATTATTGTAATGATTTCTCATTACTGACTACTGACAATGAATCTGTTCATTTGAGTTGCCGAAATATAACATGTCACATGATATAGTTATATTGATCTAGGCGACCTGCTTGAATATCTGCGCTACCTGTTTCCTGCCATCTGGATATTTCAACAAGTTATCTGTTGCATTTTGTTTGTTTTAACACATCATTATGCCTATTAATGTCTCATAACCTATTCAGGTAAGTTTGTGAAAAGTGTACGACATTTCACTGTACAAGTTACAAAATAGCTCAATCAGAGACATCACGGTTACTGGCAATATGCATCGAAAAAGATACACATTTATGAGATGTCGATTTTTAAACCTCTGACATCTAACTGGCGCCCAGTCAATATTGATCGCAAGGAACTGATCAAGAAATAAGAAATACTTTGTACTGAGAATTCTATATTGTACCAAAAACATTACTTACTTACTGGTTAGCGTTATTTTTAGCGAATTAGTTTTCTACGGGATGGGGTCGCTAACCCTATGCCCAACCCTCCTTCTTTATCCGGGCTTCAGACCGGCAGTAGCCCCCGAAAGGGACTTCAAGCGAAGTTTACCAAAAATATAATATTCAATAAAGCCACTAATAATAATAATGATAATTTCATTCTGAAATATAATTCCCATCTTTGAGAAATTCAAGCTGATCTGTTCGAACCATTGTAAATCTAATATAGTCTGCAATACAAGTAATACTGTAGGATCTATGCAACTAAATTAAGATTTAGTATATTTGTCACATAATAACGATTCTATGATTAGGTTTCATTGATGAGAATGATTACATTAAATGGGCAGGTATCATGGATTCACTAGTTGATGCCACTTATCTTCATGGAGATGAAGTGTAAATATCGTTAAAATCAATCGATAAATAATAATATTTTAAACATTAGAATTTTTGATTGAGATTATAAACCGATTGATGTTAGACCACCATTGAAAACCTGGAAGAACTGGTCACGCAACTTCGTGGATTGGTTGAGGTTAGACATTAACACCGTTGGATACCAGCTGGCCCAGTGGTCCAATAGGTTAAGTGTTCGCTCACTAGACTGAAGGCCCTAGGTTCGAATCTTGCGAGCGAGCGATATCGTGGATGTGCACTGCTGACGAGTCCCACAATAGGACGAAACGGCCATCAAATGCTTCCAGGTTTCCAACAGTGATCTTGCATCAATCGGTTCATGATCTCAATCAAAAAAACTTAACAATCTCCACAACCCCTAAACTGATAAACATTACAATATACTTATTCTTACCTTTATTAGTCGAAATTTGTTTATGAAGACATTTAGCCATTGAATTCCATTTCGGTAAAATTTCTATATAGTAAAAAATAGCTTCATTAAAACATCATCCAGTTTAAATGATAGAGTTTATTACAATATTATGTCAACAACATTAAGACTCGTTTTTGCATAATTTTTTTTATTCAAAAACGAGTCTTAATGTTGTAGACAAATGTTAAGACAGTTCTAATGTATGGGGCTGAAACCTGGAAAATCAGGAAAGCCATCATCCAGAAAATACAGGTGTTTATGAATAACAGTTGTCTACGCAAAATACTTCGGATCTGTTGACCGGACACTATTAGGCACTGACAACCTCAGTCAGTAACAACGTGGAACTTTGTACGTACATATATCAGTTCGAGTTGCCATACCATATTAGCACAGAGATTCAGTTATCAATTTAAACCCCATAGTGGTAGAGGTAGTGGAAGTATATGTAGTAATAGGGAATATTAAGGTTTGATGATGTTATTTAACGTGTATAAACCGGTGGAATAAATTTGGAAAGAGAGAATAAAGGACATGAAGAATTCAGATTAGAGTTTGAGAGAACACAAAGAGTGGATGCACCTGTTCCATTACAAACAATTTTGAACCATGTCATTCAAGATCTCTAACCATCGGTTGCTATCATCTCGCGGACCCCAAACAGGTAGTCTATACCTATCAATATGGCTCACTCAGTCCATTTGTCAGTGACTTCATGGATTTCTGCCATGTTTTGATCTGGCCACCCCTACCTTTCTTCCTACACCATAAAACATCGCACGTCGGGGCAGTCGGTGGTTTGGCATGTGTAACACATATCCCAGCCATCTCAACTGATTAAGTTCCACTACTTCATCAATTGATTTGCCATCCTTACCTAGTACCCGTTTCCTAATAACTGAGTTACTTACTCAGTGGTCCCAGGATATACGAGCAATGTTTCGAAGACACCTATGATCGAATACTAGTAACCTACGAATATCCTCTACTGTTACTGGCCATGTTTCACTGCCTTAAAGTAAGTCGGAGGAAATTATGCGCAGTTAACCCGTCCTTTGGTTGATAGACGGATATCTCGCCTACGCCACAAATGACGAAAGTTGGCAAAAGCTAGTAGAGCCTTCTGTATCCTTGCTGAGATTTCGTCAACCTACTGTGTGAAAGAACAAATCAGATTTCAGTGGAGGAAGAAATGAGGAAGAAGTGGTGGAAGTGGATAGGACACACATTGAGGAAAGCATTGAATTGCATCACAATAAAATCCCTCACATGGAATCCTCAAGGTCGAAGGAGGAGAGGAAGACCAAAGAACACATTACTCTGGGAAATGGAGATAGACATGAGAATAATGAAGAAGAATTGGATGGAACCATAGTGGAAGGCTGAGGACAGAGTAGGTTGGAGAATGCTGGTCCGCGGCCTATGCTGTATTGTGAGTAACAGGCGTAACTAAGTAAGTAAGTAACATTAGGACTCTGTGATTGTTGACGGCATATATAACAATACAAGAACCAGATGAATCGTATAAAAAACTATTAATACATAAAGTTTTAACATTATTACTGAATTGTAAACTGCTTGAAACACATACTGAATTCTTTCGGTTGATCATTGAATAATTTCTTTAATTCTAAAGTAATAACATATGCATTATATAACAAATTCAATGATTTATCCTTTGTGTTGAAAATAACAATTAAACTATCTTCTATTCTTTCAATTTATCAATTACTAGTACTAAGATTTGATACAATAATTATTGAAGAGCAATGATAATAAACATAAACATGTTCTAAAAAGTCTTAGGACAAGAGAAAGAAAGACTCTGAATAGCACAATCACCAAACATCTCCTTGATACAGGACATCAGGTAGATACCTTACAATCATTCAAGGTGATTAGTAAGCAGCCAAACTCAAGTCTTCTGAACTTTGTTGAAGCCGTTGACATCAGGCGTCAAAAAAACCTGACCTATGTGTTTAGAAGCAGACAGTTGTTAATCTTTTCTTGCCTTGGTGACAAATATTCTTTCGCTACACCTTAAAATATATATTTTGTATTTATTATATGATGTTAGTCGTGAACAGAATGTCTGGTAGCAGGGAGACAAGAAGATCGAATAGGAAAGAATGAAAACAGAATGCAATTTGTATGAAAATGCAAGAAAAATGAGTCCTACTTCATATTGGGACAATTAACGGACATTTGGCGAATTAAGCATTTACTGTATGATTGTTAGATTTTATTAACAAGTTCTGTGATTTGTTGTCAACCACATTCGATCGTTCACCACTGGTGTTCTGTTCACTACAATTAGTGTCGCTGCTGACCACGAGAGGGTAAGGGTGCTTCTCTGCAGACGCCGTTGTGGGCCTGGAGCTGAGGTGCCGGTTGGTGCAGTCTGGTGCGGAGAGGTGGCGTCCGGTAGAGTGTTCTGGCGGGGTATCGTTGGCTGTGGCGAGTGCTGTCGACAGAGAGGAGTGGTGGAACGTGCGGCTGCTGGACGGACATCGGATCTAGATGGCTGAGCAGGCCGGTGGAGCACGGGTGTTAGACGTCCCAGGTGCCGGGTAGATGTCGGATGTTGGTGCTCCGGTAGGTCGACGGAACTATGGAGATCAGCACGCCGCAGACTCGACATTCTGACGAAGGGTGTAGCACCAACTGCAGAAAAGAAGAATGTGTCTCGACGAAGATGAACCACCGCAAGAACAACTGCTTTAAATGTGGGACGAGTGAGGCATGTGCTACTTATGTAGACCATAAGTAGTATATGATGTTAGTCATGAACAGAATGTCTGACAGCAGAGAGACAAGAAGATCGAACAGTAAAGAATGAAAACAGACTGCAATTTGTATGAAAATGCAAGAACAAAGGAATTCTGAGTGATATTGAGACAATTGATAGACATTTTGCAAATCGACCATTTACTATATGATTGTTAGATTTTATTAACTAGTTCTGTAATTTGTTGTCCCCCACTGGTGCTCTGTTCACTCCAATTCATCCAACATCTAACATCAAAAGAAACTTAACATTGTTAACTATGAACTGGCTAATATGTGTATGTATTATAGTCTATTTCTTAATGTATCAGAGTTAGTACAAACCGTTAATGCCTTATAAAAAAATTAATTATCTCATATTATCATATAAGATAAACATCTCTATGATAAACTAGCAATGTTTCCATTCTAAAGTTTCAAATACAATTATTATTATTATTATAAGCAAATATGGATAGTGGCTAGCAATGGAATTCAGTTTGACGCACGTTTCGTCCTATTTAAGACTCGTCAACTGGATATACCTGCATCTCAGATTTGTTGATGTTCACTCTGGGATTCGAACCCAGTACCATTCCTTTCAAACGTCATCAGCTACTAAGTCCTGATAGCCACTTATTTGTGCAATGGATACACATATGCCATTAAGAGACTGATCAATTTCAGTTTTAAACATAACATCAATGGGAAGATTCAAGTAAAACCATACAAAGTGAATTTATTATTATTATTAATATTAATATTAAAATGTTCTATAGAAGGTTTATAGTCAAACCTTCATTAAGTATTGAAGGGATAGTATATTCTGAACGTTTTTCGACACAAGTCACATCTAAAATAATCAATATCATTATAGTAATAAAATATTCGTTTAATATACATCTATCAATTGATTTATTTGATTGTGGAAATGTTTCCTTGAGTTCATCTAATAGAAAAATATAAAAAAAAAAAAATAGATCAATTAATTTCTATGAAATTTAATGTATTAATTATAAGCAATTAAATGTTACTAAATTACAATCAATATTTAGCAACAACCTACTGTGGGAGAGAACAAATCACAAACCCAGTGGAGGATGAAATCAGGAAGAAGCACTGAAAGTGGATAGGACACACATTGAGGAAAGCACCGAACTGCATCACAAGACAAGCTGTCACATGGAATCCTCAAGACCAAAGTGGGTGATGAGGAAGACCAAAGAACACATTACGCTGGGAAATGGAGATAGACATGAGAATAATGAACAAGAATTGAATGGAACTAAACTGGAAGGCTGGGGACAGAGTGGGTTGGAGAGTGGTGGTTGGCAACCTATGCTCTATTCAGAGTAACAGACATAAGTAAGTAAGTAAATTACAATCAAAGTTGTTAGATGAATGAATTCCAAAAAATTAAACATCAGATTTACATTACATTCGTAATAACATCGTAATATATGTATTCCTATTGATCTTTACTAAAAACAATATAGTCATAGTAATAGAAATACTTGAATCTTAAACTAGTCTTTACTATAGTATATTTACATGTCATTGATTAGATTTTATGGAAGTGACTTACTTACTTACGCCTGTTACTCCTCGCGAACGAGTATAGGCCTCTCACAAGCATTCTCCATCCAACCCTGTCCCACCTAATCCTTTCCATCTCTTTCCAGTTCTTATTCATCCTTTTCATATCCGCTTCCATTTCCCAACTTAATGTGTTCTTTCGCCTTCAACATTTTCACTTCCCTTCAGCATTTTAAGTTAGCGCTTGCCTCGTAATGCAGTTTGATGATTTCAACAATGTATGTCCTATCCATTTCCATCGTCTTTTCCTAATTTCCTCTTCAGCTGGAAGCTGGTTGGTTCTCTCCCACAAAAGTTTGTTGCTGATGCTATCCAGCCAATGGATGTTGAGTATCTTGCGTAGACAGCTATTGATATGTACTTGTATCTTCTTGATGATGGTGGTTGTTATAGTTCTCCACATTTCAGCTCCATACAATAGAACTGACTGTGTTGACGTTCGTATTGAAGATTGTGAATTTGATATTGGTTGACAGACAGTTGTTTCGAGTTCCATATGTTGTTTAATTGAAGGAATGCTGTCCTTGCTTTGCCGATCCTCACATTCACGTCTGCATCTGAACCTCCTTGTTCATTGATAATGCTTCCCAGATATGTGAATGATTGTACATCTTACAGAGTTTCGCCATCAACAGTGACTGGACTGCTGTTCTCCGTGTTGTATTTGAGGACTTTAGTTTTCCTCTTGTGTATATTGAAGCCTACTGATACAGAGACTGCTGCCACACTAACTGTCTTTATCTGCATTTGTTCGTGTGTATTTGATAGGAGGTCTAGATCATCTACGAAGTTCGAATCGTCTAATTGGTTCTGAGCTATTTATTGTATACCATGTTTTCTCTCACATGTCGAGGTCTTCATAATCCAGTCGACTACTAGAAGAAAGAGGAAGAGAGAGAGAGTAAACAGCCTTGTCTTACTTCGATCCTTACTTGAAATACATCTGTCAGATGTCCTCCATGCACTACTTTGCTCTGTAGTCCGTCGTATGAGCTCCGTATTATGTTAACAATCTTGTCCGAAACTTCGTAGTGTCGAAGAAGTTTCCATAACGTTCTTCTATCTACACTGTCAAATGCCTTTTCATAATCAATCAAGTTGATGTACAATGATGAGTTCCACTCAATTGATTGTTTGACGATAATCCATAGTGTAGAAGTGACTAATAGAAGAATATTTATCATATAAGAAATAAATAAATAAAGTATAATAAGTAGTATCTTTATGAAAACAATTCCATTAGTATAAATTATATAATCAATAGACCATAAAGTAACATTCTTCTTCATTGTTCATTGAAAAATGAAACAAGACATTAAAATGAAGTTATATTTAAGGTATATGATGATGATGATGGCTTGTAACGAATCTACCTGTAAAGAGATTAGTATAACTTCACGATACAATTATTCATTGGAAACAACAACAAAAAAAAAAACAAAAAAAAAACGCATCAATGAACTCAATATTAAATCACCGCTAGTATGCTCTATATTGTTATCCGCTATATCGATTTGTTTCAAATCTTGTTCAATAACATCTAAAATGAAATCATATAAACATTTTATTCATAGTAACAATTAAAAATTTAGTCTTGGAATTACACATTCAGTATTATGTTTGTTCTATATAACAATAAATTTAATGTTTATATTACAAAATATGTTTATAAGACTAGTGTTTACGGATGGATACGTTTATATTTTACAGTAGAATGTTCTTTATGTAATAAGAAATGATGGATAGTGGTTAGCAGTGGAATCCAGTTTGATACACGTTTCGTCCTATTTAGGACTCGTCAACTGGATGTACCTGCATCTTAGAGTTGATATTCACTCGTGGGACTCGGACCCAGTATCATTCTCAATATCGAGGTATACACATAGTATGCACATATGCCAATAACAGACTGATCAATTGCAGTCTTAAACCTCAATAGGAAGATACAAGCTAAACAATACAAAGTGAATTTATACTTCACACCATTGCACAAGTAAGTGGCTATCAGGACTTAGTAGCTAAGTGAATAACGCGATGGCATTTAAAGCCAACGGTACTGGGTTCGTGTGCCAGAGTGAACATCAACAAATCTGAGAAGCAGGTACATCCAGTTGACGAGTCCTAAATAGGACGATACGCGCGTCAAACTGGATTTCGCTGCTAACCACTATCCATCATTGCTTATTACAAAAAACTTGTGAATTAAGGCAATATCGAGGCAATCCGTACGGTATGCACATATGCCAATAACAGACTGTTCAATTACAGTCTTAAACCTAAATGAGAAGATACAAGCTAAACAATACCAAGAGAATGTTCTTTAGATATTTTCTCAAAATTGTTCTTCCATAATCACAGCAGATTGTTGATTATTTTCAAAGAATGTGATATGAAATTGTTAAGTGAATTTTTGTTCATCTATGAATGAGAAATAATGACTGTATAACGCGGGAACATTTTATTTTCATTTATTCAAACATATAAACAGTGGTACAAAGATGCACCATAGTATATATGCGTCATACAAGTGAACACTAAATTTATGTTTGAGTAGTAATACTGTGTAGGTGCTCAAACTGAAGCAGATGATTTTCTTAAGAGTACAGGCTCTGATCATTCAACCTAAACATCTAATCCACAAAGCAGTAGAGCAACACTAGGAGATGGGGTTTTATGATGACCCGTGACCAAATATAGTTATAGACTCTTTTGTTCCTTCAGGATCCTGGAACCCATACCCATTATTGGTTTGGAATCAGAGTTTTCTAATTCCCTTCAGTGATTCCTTTTTACTCATCAACCAAGCATAAGTTTTAAACAGTTGCTTTTCAAACTCTTCATTTCATAAACAACATTCCATTATGGGAAGATAATGAGTAGGACTCCTTGGCAATGGCTATATGTAAACGATCATATGAGTTAGTAAACTCTTTTCATCGTAGATGTTATCAGGACATTCAGGGGAAAGATAACACATACTTCTGTTGCTGAGTTTATTTTTCTTAATATTCTGAATTATATCGTACAATTTACGTTCTAAAATAACGAAAAAAACAAATTGAATTTATTTATTTTTATTTGTTTTCAAAAGTTTATGATTACATTATTATATAATGTATAACCACATGTAAACATGAACACGGCGGATTCGATGCAGATGTGAAGGCACGGATTGGCAAAGCAAGAGCAACATATTTACAACTGAAGAACATCTCGAACTCAAAACAATTGTCCACAAGTCAACATCAAAGTCAGAGTTTTCAATACAAATATCAACACAGTTCTACTGTATGGGACCGAAACATGGAAAACCACAAAAGCCATCATACAGAAGATACAGACGTTTATTAATAACAGTTGTCTACACAATATACTTCGGATCCGTTGGCCGGATACCATTAGACACTGACAACCTACTATGGGAGAGAATAAATCAGATTCGAGTGGAGGAACAAAATCAGGAATAAGCGGTGGGAGTGGATAGGACACACATTGGGTAAAGCACCAAACTGCATCACAAGACAAGCTCTCACATGGAATCCTCAAGACCAAAGTGGGTGAAGAGGAAGACCAAAGAACACATTACGCCGAGAAATAGAGATAGACGTGAGAAGAATGAACAAGAATTGGATGGAACTAGACTGGAAGGCCTAGGACAATGTGGTTTGGAGAGTGTTGGTCAGCGGACTATTCTCCATTGTAAGTAACAGGCTTAAGTAAGTAAGTAATCATCCTGTTAAAGTAAGTATATACATTTGCGTAATGTGTTCTTTCGTCTTCCTCTTCACCTCCTTTGACCTTGAGGATTCCATGTGAGGGCTTGTCTTGTGATGCAGTTTGGTGCTTTCCTCAATGTGTGTCCTATCCACTCCCACCGCTTATTCCTGATTTCTTCCTCCACTGGGATGTGATTTGTTCATTCCCATAGTAGGTTGTCAGTGTCTAATAGTGTCCGGCCAACGGATCCGAAGTATATTTTGTAGACAACTGTTATTAATAAACATCTGTATCTTCTGGATGATGGCTTTCGTGGTTTTTCAGGTTTCGGTCCCATACAGTAGAACTGTGTTGATATTTGTATTGAAAACTCTGACTTTGATGTTGACTTGTGGACAATTGTTTTGAGTTCGAGATGTTCTTCAGTTGTAAATATGCCACTCCACCTGGAGTCCCTCCGGGGGCCACTGCCGGTCCTAAGCCTACCAGAATAAAGGAGTAGGTTTAGGCATGAGTTTTGCCCCCCACATCCCGTAGAAAACTAACTCGCTAAACAAAAAAAAACGCTTACCAGAGAAAATTATTTAAACCATTTAATCATAAATAATAAAATTTTGTTACATTTATATCTATAGTTTAGCATAGTAAAAGTCATTCAAAATTTGTTCTACTTTTTATCAAATACAAATGATTGTATAGAAACAATTAACCATTGTAATTATAATGTTATCATCTCTACTCATATGTCACATTTAACTAATCATGATTATTTATTTATTTATTTCAACACATAAATATTGGTACAAGAGAACACCAAATAGATATGCGCCACACAAATCTCATTTGATATGTGTGTGGGCTGTGATACTACTCGTATGCCCAAACCGAAGCAGGTGGTTCACTTAGGAGGCCACACCCCGAGCCTTCGACCTGAAGATCTGATACACAAGGCAGTGGAGCATCGTGTGGAGATGCAATCCTATGATAGCCGGTGACCAACAATTGGTTCATATGCCATTTGTTCCCTCAGGCAAGATACTGTATCCCATGTGCTCCATTGGTTTGAGATCGGGTTAAAGCACCGGACATTCAATTTTCGTGCTCTCATTTTCATAAACAACAGTAATGACACGAGAATGCAGTGAGTAGGTCTTCCCTGGTAGAGGTTATATATGCGTGGCCATGTGAGAGTATTTCGAGAGGGGGAGCGGACTCTCCCCACTCTCGGCCGTACCAGGGCATTTGAGGTATAATAAGGTTTATTATGAATTGAAATTAGAATAATCGTTAAGAATCAATGAATTAGTCCCTTACGTTTTTCAATTTCATTTAAAATTTCATTTTCAACATCTAATATAAATTCATTGGTTACTAACAGTATACAAAACAAAAAAAATCAATTTTATCTATGATAATCATGATCATGAACTTTTAGGCATGATATAAAAATCTATGTTATTTTTACTGATTGAAATCATAAGTCAATTGAAGCTAGATCATCATCATGGAAAACCTGGAAGCATTGGATGGCCGTTTGGTCCCAATATGGGACTCCTCATCAGTGCGTATTCACGATCTCGCTCCCCCTCTTTGATATTCGAACCCATGACTTATCAGTCTCACACGCGAGCGCTTAACATACTAGACCACTGAGCTGGCTAACATCCAACGATGTTAATGTCTAACTTCAACAAATCCACGAAGTTATTATGCTTTACTTTATTCCATATATTTACAACCAGTTTACGTCATGTAAATTATAACTCTCATAATAAAGTTGTTTTTTTTCCTTGTTTTCACTGCTTCACTACACAAACTTAAGTAGTATAATTGTCGAGGAACTTCACCTAGAGCCTCTCTGGGACTATTACGAATTCCAAGCTCGGATAAAAGAGGAAGGTTGGACATATGGTTAGCGATTGAATCCCCGAGAATTAAGAAATATAGTTTCTGAAAACGTTACTTACATAACATGTTATTAACGGAGTTGATGTAATGGTATTTTTGACGAATCAATGAATTCAGATGTTTAATAACTGAAGAATACATAATGTAAATTTATAAATACAAATTTAAAGTATACGTTTTATCACAGGCAATGCTCACATTAATTATCATAAATGAAAATTCAATCGTTTGCATGATAAGTTTCAATATAAAGCTTTAAAATCAACATTTTGGTCGAGTTACAAAGCATTAGAACAAAACTTAAGCTATCAGTATTCATATCAGAAGGAGTTTTGTGGAGATTGTAGTCATTTCAATGGTTAAGATCATGAGTTAGTTGAAGATAGATCATCACCATGGAAAACCTGAAAGCACTGGCCAGTTGGCCGTTTCGTCCTATTGTGGTACTCCTTAGCAGTGCGCAATCACGACCTCACCCCCCTCCAGCGAGATTAGAATACAGGACCTACTGGTTATACGCGCGAGCACTTAACTACTAGATCACTGTGCAGGAAAATATCCAACGGTGTTAATGTCTAACTTCAACTAATCCTACGAATTTGAGCAACACATCCACCATTGTCTTCAATGAGTTACTATCTCACAACAGACTTAATTGAACTCCACTGGTCACTACTTCTCACTAGAACTCGAGGATATACCTCTTGAAGTCAGTTACTAGTGATTATATGTTTATTAATATGAGAAGGGGTTTTGTGGAGATTGTAATAATTTCAATGGTTAAGATCATGAGTCAGTTGAAGCTAGAGTACCACCATAGAAAACTTAGAAGCACTGGATGGCCGTTTTGTTCTATTGTGGCACTCCTCAACAGTGCGCATCCACGAATTCGCCAGGACCAAATCAGCTGTATATCATATCATTTTGAATTCAATTCAGAAACTCTTCAAAATAACATTTTTCAAATCTATTGAATACTAACAGATTGAAAAAGTTTGTTCACTGATTACACAATCAATTTAATGTTGTAGGTCCAGTGAAATTCCACTGAGTACTAGCCAAATCATCCGGCAGTTGGGTCATTGAATATCGAACAAACCATCGATCCTCGTCAATGTCAAGGACAATCAACGCGCATCAGTTAATCGTACGCCATGGACTGGCCCATGCGGCAGTGGTCTTACTTTCGCTTGTCCTCTGTGTTGTACAGTCTTCAAGCATCTATAGTACCTTGAAACGTCAATAGGGTAGTCCACGTATGGTACTGACTATCAGGTGTGACTTCGACGCTAGCTGGTTTGTCACACCATTCCCGTATAACTCGAGTAGGCTTCCGATCATTCGACATAGATCATTTACGTTGGTGATCTACAATGTGATTATTTCAGATATGTAATACAATAATGTTTATATATAAATTCTAATTAATAGTAGATATAATGCTGAATCAGTGGTTTTTAGAGGTTAATTGTCCGTATGCAAGAACAATACACCCTAGGTTCATGTCCCATTGGGCAAGGTCGTTAATACACACTGCTGAGGAGTCATACAAAAGGACGAAACCATTGATCAATGCTTCCAATTTATCCATGATGGTTTAATTTCAGTTGACTTATGATCTCAACTATTAAAAAATTAAAAAAAATTTCTTTTAAGAACAATACTTGCATTTAGTGATTTCCAAACTTTTCATTGTACTATTATTACTTTTCATTTTTTCAACTGAATTAAAGAAATAAATATTACATAATTGTATTTGTTATGATTAATGAATAATAAAATAATTTATAAAATGAAGAATATTTGACCATCATGGGGTCTACAGTTATCAGTCCATAATTATTGTGATATATTACATAGGTCAAATTAAGGCAATGTATTAATTTTAGATGGTGGTTGGAGGTAGTCGACAGGAAACCCTGGACACGGGTTCCGTGCTACTTGGCACTCGTCAGCAAGGTGTACCTGTAATCTTGAGGGAACTGATGTTCCCTGATGGATTCGATCTTGTGTCACCCAGCTTCACCGTTGGAGACGTTACCACTGAGCTATCCGGGACACGACCGATCTCCTGTAGAACTGAGATGTAATCACAATCGATTGATCACTGGGTGGTGATCAATGTCATGCTTGTCTAGTCCTTATTATTAGTGCAGATCGAATGCTACCGATCATGTATTAATAAATTTGACAATGTTCTATGTTAAAATTGGTGCACGTTTACATCTGTTACTACTTGTATATATATATACTTCAAAATTGTATTATTTGCAAATGAGAAAGGTCATTCAATAAAGGTCAGGATGATTTGGAGTAAAGGGTTCAGTTACTATAAGTAGAACAGTATTATAGCAAAACTGAAAATGCAAAAACCAAAATTGTGTGAATAAAGTGCATAGTATGAGAATTTCATCTAGTCAATTGCGATAATAATAATCAGATTGTTGTGTGAATATAATATGTAATAAGGAGGGTGAGGGTGTTATCAAGGTGATTATGATAAACGAATTGGGAATGATGGATGTGAAGATTAAGATAGAGGTAATCAAAAAATAAGGAGGGGGGGTAAGATGTTTATAATATTCAGTTTGGATATTCGGTGATTCAGTCGTGGGCCAAGGTAAACATATAGGCTGGATATACATTTTCTGAATACATAAGTTTGGTTTTCTGGAGTTGATTCAGATGGCTTCGGCTATGTAAAGCAGTTGTAATCTAGCTCCTTGGGGTAGATATTTTGGACCTTGATTTAAAACTAAGAAAGCTTCCTCTATTTTGATATGATGTTCACTATCTACCAAATGAGAAAGAATGGTGCTGTTAATCGATTCGGTACATGTTCACGAACACACAAGGATAAAGCCCTCTGAGTACAGCCTATATAACTAGCTCCACAGGAGCAGTTGAATTGATATACACAGACGGAGGAGTCCATCTTCGTTAACCTATCCTTGATTAGTTGTATGAGTATTGGTTTAATTGAGAAAATTATATGTAACTTGGCACCGTGAAACATTCTTCTTTCAACAGATCTTTCAAGTCGAAGTGTTAAAATATTACCCGATATGTCCCTTTTAAAGTCTAATCCCAGATATAAAGTCTTTTTACTGATTGTGTCACAATTTCTTCTCTTTTGTTTTTGGTACTTTCTACAAGGTATTTCTTGAATGAACTTATCTGGGTAACCATTATTTCGTATTATGTTCTTTAGTATAACTATTTCAATATCCACACTGTTTTTAAAACATGATAACTTGATTCTATGGTTAAGACATTTAACCAAATTTATTTTCTATTGAAGAGGTGTTAGATACCATGTTAACTTTGATAATAATCTCAAATATACTAAAATATTTTTGTAAGTAAATTATAATGAAAATATGATAAGTGTAACCATAATAATGAATTAAAAGTGCATGATCATTTGAACAATATTCTCGTCATTGACAGCTACTCTGTTAGACTTATATTATGGTGTGTTCCAATTATATAGACATAAGTAGTATATGATGTTAATCGTAAACAGAATATCTGACAGCAGAGAGACAACAAGATCGTACAGTAGAGAATGAAGACAGAATGCAATTTGTATGCAAATCCAAGAACAAAGGAAGTTCGAATGATTTTGAGACAATTGATAAACATTTTGCAAATCGACCATTTACTGTATGATTGTAAGATTTTATTAACACAAGTTCTGTAATTTATTGTCATATACATTCGATTGTTCCCCACCGGTGTTCTATTCACTACATTTAGTGTCGCTACTGACCACGAGAGGGTAAGGGTGCTTCTCTGCGAATGCCGTTGCGGGCCTGGAGCTGAGGTACTGGTTGGTGCAGTCTGGTGCGAAGAGGTGGCGTCCGGTAGAGTATTCTGGCGGAGCGGCGTTGGCTGTAGAGAGTGCTGTCGACAGAAAGGAGTGGTGGGACGTGCGGCTGCTGGACGGACATCGGATGTAGATGGCTCAGCAGGCCGGTGGCGCACGGGTGTTAGACTTCCCAGTTACCGGGTGAATGTTGGGTGTTGGTGCCCCGGTAGATCGACGGAAATATGGAGATCAGCGCACCGCAGATCCGACATTCTGACGGAGGGTGTAGTACAGACTGCAGAAAAGAAGAATGTGTCTCGGCGAACATGAACCACCGAAAGAACGACTACTTTAAATGTGGGACGAGTGTTGTGTGTGCTACTTATGTAGATATAAGTAGTATATGATGTTGGTTATGAACAGAATGTCTGGCAGCAGAGAGACAAGAAGATCGAACAGTAAAGAATGAAGACAGCATGTCATTTGTATGCAAATGCAAGAACAAAGAAAGTCTGTGTGATTTTGAAACAATTGATGAACATTTTGCTAATTGAGCATTTACGATATGGTTGTTAGATTTTACTAATAAGTTCTGTAATTTGTTGTCAAATACATTCGATTGTTCCACACCCGTGTTCTTGTTCACTACAATAACATGTATCGTATCAAAACATGTATCTAAATACTTATTCAACTGTTTTATTTGTAATTTTTTGTAAACAAGCAAATTTTTCAACAGTCATACAATAATGTTTTATTACTTCACTTTACTCTTTATTGATTATGGTTCTTTCTATTATTTTAGTAATTAAGTATTACATATGATAAGTGAATAGTAGTTTAACATTTATTTTTCAGTTGTTCATTATCACCATCATCATCATCCAAAGCAACAACATCATCATCATCATCATTCACAGCAACATCATCGTCCAAAGCATCATCCAAATCATCATCATCATCATTCGAAACTTTTCAATTTGTATATGTTTCACAATTTTGTTGATTTTATTGAAGCTACATGACGAGACAACTACTGGGCCATTGAAATGTTACTGAGCCCTAACCAAATAATCAGGCATTTGAGTCACTGAATATTGAACAGATCATCAATCCTTGTCAAGTTCAAGGCCAACCAATATGCATCAGTTAATGCTAAGCCATGGACTGGCTCATCCTGTGGTGATCGCACTTTTGCTTGTAATTATTCTTAATAATATATTTCCGTAATAATAAATCTTATGTGTAGTACGATCTTCAAAGCAGTTATAGTACTTTGATACGTCGGAATGGTAAACCACGTTAGATGCTGACTTCGAAGTTAGCTTTTAGTCATACCATTCCCGTCTAACTTGAGTAGGCCCTAAATTATTCGATATAGATCATCTATGTTGGCGATCTACAGTGCTACTTTTAAAAAATTATTCTCAAAATTTAATTATCATGAAAGAGCATTGAACAATGGTTGCATTTATCGTTATATTGTAAACTCTTTTTAATGGTACGCTGATTATGAAACTTCTAATAATTAGAACTGTGTTTGAATGGTTTACTTTGTATTGACAATCAATGGAAGTTCATTTACAATCCGACTAATCTCATCTTCTAAACTTTTTATACCATATAAACCGGGACAGTTTGTTATTTCATCTAAACACTAATCTTGTTAGAACCCTTTTCATGTTTATTATAAACTATATTTAAAAAGTTGAAATATATAATCTTAACTAGTAATCAGAACTCCGCCTGGAGTTCCTACTCCAGGGCCTATTGCCGGTCCAAAGCCCTGATAAAGGTGGAGGGTTGGACATGAGGTTAGCGACCCCATCTCGTAGAAAACTAACTCGCTGAATAAAACGCTAACCGGAAAAAATTATTCAAACCATTGAACAACTAGTAATCAGAATTTTTCATGACAATTTGAGGTTGTATATCCTTTATATCAACTCCATTGTAAACAGGCATGTATCATCGCTACATATTATACAACCAGTATCCCTTAAAATCACGTGAGCTAACCTGTCCTGATGAGTTCAATTATCAATAAGAATTATCAATAGTCTTATCTAAGAAACGAAACTTAGATTTTCTAATCAACAAATTCCATATAAGTATGCTGAAACATTTATATAAAGTTTTATAAATGAGCTTCATAAAGTATCCTCAGCCAGTCAGTCAGTCAGTAACAACGTGGAACTTCGTACGTACATATATCAGTTCGAGTTGCCATACCACATTAACACAGAGGTGCATTTATCGATTCAAATCCCGTAGTGGTAGAAGTAGTGATAGTATAAGTAGTAATAGGGAACATTAGTGTTTGATGATGTTATTTAAGGAGTACAATCCAGTGGAATAAATTTAGAAAGAGAAAATAAAGGACATGAAGAATTCAGAAGATTAGAATTTGGAAGAACACAAAGAGTGGATGCACCTGTTCCATTACAAACAATTTTGAACCATGTCATTCAAGATCTCTAACCATCGGTTGCTATCATCTCGCGGACCCCAACCAGGTAGTCTATACCTATCAATATGGCTCACTCAGTCCATTTGTCAGTGACTTCATGGATTTGTGCCATGTTTTGATCTGGCCACCCCTACCTTTCTTCCTACACCATAAAACATCGCACGTCGGGGCAGTTGGTGGTCGGGCATGTGTAACACATATCCCAGCCATCTCAAATGATTAAGTTCCACTACTTCATCAATTGATTTGCCATCCTTACCTAGTACCCGTTTCCTAAAAACTGCATTACTTACTTGGTGGTCCCAGGATATACGAGCAATGTTTCGAAGACACCTATGATCGAATACCAGTAACCTACGAATATCCTCTACTTTTACTGACCATGTTTCACTGCCTTAAAGTAAGTCGGAGTATATTATGCGCAGTTAGCCCGTCCTTTGGTTGATAGACGGATATCTCGCCTACGCCACAAATGACACAAGTTGGCAAAAGCTATTCGAGTCTTCTGTATCCGTTCTGAGATTTCATCACACACTAGACCACAAGGGCTGATGAGACTTCCAAGATAAATGAACCGGTTGACACTCTCAACTACTTCACTCCCTATCACTAGTTCAGGTGGCGATGCAACCTAATCCTGAAGCAACATTTTGCATTTCGAGGAAGAAAATCGCATGCCAAACATGCCTTCATTGTTGCTTACGGTGGTCAGAAGACTCTGCATTTTGTCAGTGTCTTCACCAAATAGAACTATATCATCGGCATACTCATTAAGTATCCTAGAGAAAGTAAAAATGTTCAATCATTTAAAGACTTACGTTTCTGTTCAGATACATAGATAACTATATAAAATAATATCATTATATGAAGTAAAAATAAATGAGACATATTTACAGAATGTGTATTCACTTATACTCTTTTCGTTATTTATATTGTTGCTAACAGAAAATTATGGCATAATTCAAAGGCATACACAGTATGCATTTAACATATGTTGAGATGATTATCAAATCAAGTAACCGTTAGACACTACATTTATTATACTTGTATACCATCATTCATTCATCATCTTATGTTTGCTTTTCATTGAAATTACTATCTTTTATACTCTAATACATATATACATATGATAGTACTAACAAACATTGTATGAGTTAATATGAGACGATATTTTAAACATCATTACTCAGAACATATAAACAATGTAACGTTATATTAACATACTTCTAGTATTCACTTAATAGTCAAATGTCTGGAAATATCACCGCGATAAATATATCTTTTGATGTATAGTTCTACTAAAATCAGATCATATTTAAAAGAGTAATATGGTTGAAATCAGGTGGTTACGTTTTATTAAAAAACAACAACAACAACAACATACTACTCTTATGTCTTTCGTTGATTCAAAAGAGTTAACGAAATTTCAGCTATTCAATCTAAACAGTATCGTTTTAATATTCAAAATCATGTATAAAGGGAATGATGATTAACTTTTATAACTTGATTGTAATTTTCAAGTATTTCGTTTCTATATACACTTTATATTTAATATTTATAAGGAAATATCATTTATGCAATGAGTTAGATTATTTTTTTTAATTTCGTGGATGGGTTGAAGTTAGATGCTAACCGGCTCAGTAGTCTAATGGTTAAGCAATTGCGTGCAAGACTGATAGGTTTTGGGTTCGAATCTCACGGTGAGTGGGGGCGGGATCGTGAATGTGCACTATTGAGGAGTGCCATAATAGGACGAAACGGTTGTCCAGTGCTTCCAGGTTTTCCATAGTGATTGTCTAGCTTTAATTGAAATTACCAATTCTCCACAAAACCCCTTCTAAGAATGAATATAATACATAGAAGTATGATCAAATATGAGTTATAAGCAAATATTTTGTTACATATTCAAAGTTAACAGACTTCAGACTGTTCGATACAATTCGATCAACACTGTGAACAATATTATGATGAAAGAGGTTAGAGCTAGGTGATAAACCAATTCTATGCTGAATATGAAAGTCTGTGACTCTAATTACGAGTAACGCAGATACGAATCTCTTAGAAGATATCAATTTCAACTGGATTCTAGATTGATGATGAATAGTTCGTACTAATCAGCTTCTAGGTTTTCCATGGTGATCTAGCTTCAACTGACTCATGATCTTAATCATTGAAATAAGATTAAATAATTTCATTGCATTCGGTTCCATTCAGTAATTTAAACAAAACCAAAATGACAGTATTGGTAAAGTATGTTAAAGGTTCAAACAGAGAGAGGCAAATACATGCCTTTATGCTCATTAGATTTCGATTATAATTAACTAGAAAACAAACAGAAGATCAAAGTATCTAGTTCAGTTTTGTTGTCACGACAGTTGAAGGTCAATTACTGTAGCTTTCTAAATGCTGTGGCTTTCATGAATCTAAACAAGTCCAAGTTATATTATTTGTTATTCATAGTAAAAACATTATTTAAATCTCTTTTATATTCTGAAAAATGTTATCGAATATCAGATAAATCAATAATTTCAGAATATTTCAATATTAGATGGTGTTCAGCATTGATAAGTAAATGGAAAATGTGTAAGAATATTTGTACAAAATTGTATAAAATCCTGAAAGTATTGGACGGTCATTTCATCCTAGTGTGTAGCTTTACAACAATGAGAATGCATATTTCTGCATGTGGGACTTAAATCCCAAGACCTTCGGTCTTGCATACGAACACTTGACGCTTAGACCAAAGAACTGTAATCCAACAGCGCCCATACCTAACTTCAATAAATCCACTATACCGCGTGATCATTTTCTATTACTTTTGGAGAATCACTGACTCACATCTGTAACGGATTATGTCCAACATTGAATACTGGGTCAATAATCTAGAGATTAAACATTCGCAAGCAAAACCGAAGATTCTATATTTAAATCGTAGATGAGTGTTAAGTATTGTAATTTGAACCCTATACTTGGTTCATAAACTATTCTTGAAACCTCTGAACACGAGAGAGAAGGTTTGCATTATATTACTGATTTTTATAATCTTCAATGTGTTCAAATAACGTACGATGAATTTAGGTTTGATAAGTCTTGCAAAATTGAAAGCTATATTCGGTTCCTAAGCTATTCTGGTAACTTGCAAGCTAGAACTAGGCAGCGACTTGAACACGAGAGAAAGGGACAAAATAAACGGAAAGTACTTTACTCCAAAGGTTCATTTCAGTACAGAAAATATAGGATTTTTATCATATTCTAAATGTCCTTCAGTTGCTCGAAGATTCTGAAATGCTACTAAACATAGTAGCAGTATAACAATCAGTCAATCAAAACTTCTGCATGTGGCGTTTCACTTCCTTGATGTTTCTGGTTAAAACTTCAAGTGAACGCTGATTGAATGAAATACATCTTAGTGTTTTCTGATCCTTGCTTGTCTTTTACGAAACATTTTCTGGATCACACTAATAAGTTTGTTCAATAAAGAGTAAACTTAAAATTTGATCTAAGTCTAGTCATTCACAATCGATATCGAACTCTAACAAAATAACATTATTATTTATAATAATAGTAATTTTATTAACAGAATTTCAGTTTGTTTACATAATAACTGCCAGAAGGGGTTTTGTGGAGATTTTAGGAAGCATATCCTAAAGTTCTAGTATGAAGCCGTCACCAATGGAGTTCAACCAGGTCTATTGTGAGATATTAGCTCACTGAAGGCAATGGTCTACGATGGTGCAATTCCATGGATTGGTTGAAGTTAGACATTAACACCGTTGGAAACCAACCGACTCAGTGGCCTTATGGTTAAGCGATCGCGTGCAAGACTGATAAGTCCTGGATTCAAATCTTGCGAGATGAGGTCATGGATGTGAATAGCCACCAAGGAGTCCCACAATAGAACGAAACAGCCGTCCAGTGCTTCCAGGCTCTCCATGATAGTCTAGCTTTCAATGACGCATAATTTCAACTATTGAAATAATAATTACCTTGAAAAGAATTAAATTTTTCATATTATCATTTTACAATTTTCTATTTTAACCAATGAAAATTTACTTTATTGAAAATAATTTATATTCATATAAACAAATTGATTGATTCACTTTGAATTGCTTTACTTGAATGTTTCCATTGATGTGATGTTTAGGACTGAAATTGATTAGTCTCTTAATGGCATATGTGCATACTGTGTATATTGCTTCGATATTGCCTTAATTCACAAGCATTATAAGCAAAGATAGATAGTGGCTAGTAGTGGAATTCAATTTGATGCGCGTCTCGTCCTATTTGGGATTCGTCAACTGGATATACCGGCATCTCAGACTAGTTGATGTTCACTTTGGGACTCGAATCCATTACCATTCGCTTCAAACACCATCACGTTATCCACTCAGTTAGTGAGTCCTGATAGTCACTTGCTTGTGCAATGGGATGAAGTTTAATTGATTTGGTATTGTTTTACTTGAATCTTCCCATTGATGTGATGTTTAGGACTGAAATTGATTAGTCTCTTAATGACATATATGCATCCTGTGCGTATTACCTTGATATTGCCTTAATTTACAATCATTATAAGTGGATAACGTGATGGTGTTTTTAAACCGAATGGTACTGAGTTCAAGTTCCAAAGTGAACATTAACAACTCTGCAATGCAATTATATCCAGTTGACAAGTTCCAAATAGGACAAAACATGCATCAAACTGAATTCCACTGCTAGCCTACTATCCATCTTTACTTATAATACTTGTAAATTAATGAATATTTATTCGTAAAAACATTAGAAAATGAATAACTTTAAAGAAACTACATATTCATTTGTAATATCTTCTTTTTTATTCCCATCTAACTAATTCATGTAATCCGATGAACCATTAATACACTAAAAGATCAAATACATGATATTCTCATGAAATACCTATTCTATTCACTAAAAAGATACCTAATCCTATAAGTTGCTGTTATCGGTATTCCATATACTTGAAATGTCATAAAGGGATATCAAATTAATGTTTTAGATTTAGTCTATTACATAAATTCATATAAATGATTTTAAACAATACTATATATGTATATATCTAATGTCATTAAAATATGGGATCTATGTTTTTTCTTTCTTATTATTCATGATTCATGATCCATTTTGATAAATGATTATTTATGATATGAAACTATTCTATTCACAACAAAAATTTACCTAATATATTAATATTTGTATAGTTTTAGTCTTGTCAACATGCTTATCCTAATTAAATGTTTCGTCCTAGTATGGGACTCTTCAACAGTGCACATCCATGATCCTGCTCTCCCCCCTCAGCAAGATTCGAAGCTAGAGCCTTCAGTTTCGTGAGTGAACGCTTAACCTAGTGAACCACTAAGCTAGCATCTAATAATGTTAGTGTCTAACCTTAACCAATCCACGAAATCGTACGACCATCTTCCATTGTACTTAGGTAGATACTTATCTCTACCCAATATGGATTAGCTTCACTGATCAAGCCTTCACACTAGAACTCCGAGAATTCCCTCACGAAGCTAGTCAATAATGAATATATGTTAACTATCAGTAATAAGGGTTCGGATCTCACGAGTGAGATCGTGGATGCACACTGTTGAGGAGTCCCAAAATAAGATGAAACGGCTATCCAGTACTTCCAGGTTTCCAACGACAGTCTAACATCAGTTGATTCATGATCTCAATCAAAAAAAAAAACTGAATAATCTTCACAACCCTACTACTGAAAATCATTTATGAAGCATTACATATCTATTGAATAATCATAATCATTACCGAAAGTAACAATTTAACTCAATATTCTCTGTTTTGTTTATTAGTTTGTTGTTAATTAATCAAATAAATATGATTACAAAAATGGTTGTTTTGTTATAGTG